AACAAAGACATTGCAGCATGCAATTAGAAGACAGTGACACCCTTTCATCTGTCTGCTCAAAGTGAAACTATGGCCACCGGTCTTACAGTCGACCGTCCCTTCAAATCTACTCTGGTGAATAGAACAAACTCCAGCAATAAAAGAGCCTCCTGATAAGGACGGAATATTGAATAAGTGATACTGATCCTTATGCAGATTTCCTACAGATTAGATAAAGAACTGGAGACCCAAATACTGGCCAGAGGTCAGTTTAAATGCATGCAGGAATCTGATGGCATTCTTTTAAAAGCTAGCTTATCTGACAGAGTGGATCCAACTGTGAAAATTTGTGTTCAAAGACAATGTGTGTGCAACAATGAAGCCCACCTACACCTAAATACTGAGAACATCCAAGGGCATGCCGATCAATTTCAGAAAGTCCTTTCCACTAAACCCCAACATCAAAAGTATATGGGATAATAATAAACACCTCTGCATGGTCTTTGCTGATAATTTGAAAACTGAAGAATAGCCATGAACGCTTGGGCTTTGTTGTAGGTTTTCAATGTGCACAGAAAAAATGATGTAGCTCCCACAGACCTCACTACCTGCTGTAAAAGGCTTGAGCTACTCTGTGGAGCCAGACCTGTATAGAGAATATAAACAGAGTAAAGTGTAACTGGACCAAAACCTCCTGTGCAGTGTGTTTAAACCAGTCTATGTGATATCTGCACCTCACGACCAATTCACATACTATTTATACTATTTTAGTGATTTTTACTGGAATCTAAATGCACTGGTCTCCATAGAAGTTCAAACGTCAAACAAGCTTGTTGTTTCAGTGTGCTCAAGGCTACAAATAAAGACATTCAACAGAATGGTTCAGACATTTTTTTTAGAGTGCAGTTTAAAGGTTTTTTTTTCCCCATTCTTAAAAAATAAAAATTAACAATTCGGTTTAGAAGTACTGAACTTCGAGGACAGAAACTAAGTATTGACCCTGTTGCACTAGAATCGATCTGATACCGATACCAGCGCTTGATTGATAGCATCTAGCACCGCCCCTGCAAACTTGCAACAGAATCAAACTCACGGGGCTGATTGTGTGCACGTGTTCTGGTGGGCTGTACTGGTCCTCGTCGTCATCCACCTCCGCTGGGCCCAGGTGCTTGTTGAGCTCTCTGTCGTCCACTTCGTCCCTGACTGCACTTCGGTGCAGAGGTGGGCGTGGCGGGTGTAGGTGCTGGGGATGGCGCTTCACCGGGTTCCCCGCCTGGGCATTTCGAAGATCACGTCGCTGTCTACGTATCAGCTAGACGACGCGCTCGGTCCCGCAGCGGGTCTTCTGCTCGTGGTACAGTGACCCGCGGACGACCCTCTCCGCCAGCAGCTGTTTATCCGCCGGTAAACCGCGGAGTTCTCGCCGTGCCCGCGATCAAGTTGCGGATCCTCAGCAGTCTTCGGATTTCGTTCTCCTGCCAGTTGTGCATCCTGGGGTTGCGTTCAATTACCCCAACAA